ATATATATATATATATATATATATACACACACACACACATATTTTAGTCATAGACACAATACCTCTATTTATTTACTTTTATGTGGTGCTGAGGATAGATAGAAACCAGTTTTTCACATGTGCTAGGCAAGTGCTCTACGACTGAGCTACAACCCCAGCCCAGTTGCTGCCTATCTGAATAAACTTAAGCTTATGTCCATCAATTTCTTTGCAACGTTTGCCCCTTCTATGATGGTATCATATATTAAAAATGCTGCTGCATATCTGTGTCAAAATATTTCAATTGCTTTTGAAATAATTTGTTTCAAAATTGAGACCTTCATATGTACAATTTGACATAGGACATGCACATTTAATATTTCATGGGAGGTCTTCAGATAAACATGCAACTATTATGATTATTATGGTTAAATTTATTCCTGTTTAATAAGTGTTCCTTGGTTCCCTAAAAGAAGTTCTAGATGACACATATACTTTTTATTTAAACATAATTATAGTTTCAAACTCTATGGTATGGATTAATTATTCCAAAAACAGATTGTAAAGACTAATAATTTGTGAAGACTTTCAAACAATACTGACCTTTTGTGCTCTAATCCTAGAAATTCAGATTATCCTAATCTGCATTGAAGTGCTGGAAAACTGCCTTTTAAAATCTCCCTTAAATGATTTTTTTATAGACAGCTTGGGCCAAACTAAGGGGCCGGAGGTGTTCATAGGCGAGAAGGAATAATGTAGGCTAGAGCAGTTAAGGAAAAACTTCTTGATTTTAGGTAGATTTTGGAGAAAGGAAGGGAAGGTTTTAGAGGAAGGATGTATTTCATAGCATAATAATTTTTAATAATGAAATAAACTAGAAATAATCTAAATGTACATTGTTTGTAGGTTCTTTTTATGTAGATTTGTAAACCATTAATGGAATGCTGTGCAATCATTAAAAAGCTTGGGTAGACATACATTTATTGGGTTGGAAAAATATATATATATTGCTAATAAAACAGGTAGCATGGTGTTATAGTTAAGAATAAGGGCTCTGGGAGTCAGTCTTGGTTCACAGTCCATTTTTAGCCTTTTGATAGGCCTTAAGCATATCTCAATTAAAAAAAATTAAAAAAATTTTTTTTAGTTGTTGATGGACCTTTATTTTACTTATTTTTATGTGGTGCTGAGGATTGAATCCAGTGCCTCACACATGCTAGGCAAGCGCTCTACCACTGTGCTACAACTCTAGCCCTTAAAAGTTTTTTAATAGACAAAAATCATATATATTTATCCTGAATAATATATTGTTTTAAAAGATATATACATTATGAAATGATTAAATAGAGCCAATTATCATACATATTACCATACAGGCTTATAATTTTTGTGATAACACTTAAAATCTGTTATTTTATTAATTTTCAAGGATACAAAGTATTCTCAGTCAGCATGTTATACAGTTGATCTCTTAGGCTTATTCTTCCTATCTAACTGAAATTTTGTATCCTTTGACCAATATCTCCCTAATTCAGTTCCCATCTGGCTCCGGCTAACTCTCATTCTACTCTCTACTTCTATAAGTTCAAGTTTGTTACATTCCATAAGTAAGTGAATCTTTGCAGAATTTGTCTTTCTGTGCTTAGTTTACTTCATTAGGATAGTATCCTCCAGATTCAACCTGTTGTCACAAATGACAGAAATTCCATCTTTTGAAAGATTGATGGTATTCTATTGTGAATATATACAAAATTTTCTTTTTCTATTCATCCATTGATGGACATTTAAATTGATTTCATACTTTAGCTATTGTGGGTAATGTTTCAAGGGAACACAAGAGTGCAGTTACCTGTTTTACAAACTGAATTCAGTTCCTTTGGATACACACCCAATGAAGGGATTGCTAGATCATATGGTAGTTCTAATTTTAATATTTTGAGGAACCTCCATACTATTTTCCATAATGACAGTACTAATTTACACTCTGAGCAACAGAGCCTGAGGGTTCCCCTTTGTCTACATCTTCTCAAACACTTTTTATATGTCATCTTTTTAATAGTAGCCATTCTGATAGTGTGAGGTGATACCTCATTGTGGGTTTAATTCGCAATTCTCTAATAATTTACTCATTCAGAGCATATTTTGATTTTTCTTGGACATTTATATATCTTCTTTTGAAAAATGTCTATTCAAATTCTTTAATTATTTTTAATGGAATTATGTTTTATAATATTGAATTGTTTGAGTTCCTTATGTGTTTTAGATATTAACTCATTATTAATGTTTGTTTTGCAAACAGTTTCTTCCATTCTGTTTTTTTTTTTTAAACTCTTTTGTTATATTATCCCTGCAGAAGTTTTTTAGTTTGAAGTAGTCTCATTTGCCTATTTTTGCTTTTGTTGCTTGTATGTTTAGGTTCTTACAAAAAAAGTCATTGCCCACACCAGGTGATGGAGCTTTTCCCTGTGTTTTTTCCTAGTTGTTTTACATTTCAGGTCTTACATGTAAATCTTCAACCCATTTTGAGTTGATTTTTTAAAATGATCTGAGATGAAGATCTGTTTTAGTTTTCTGCATGTGAATATTTAATTTTCCCAACACTGTTTATTCATTCTTTCCCTGTCATGTGTTCTTGGCATCATTGCTGAAAGGCAATTGACTATAAATGTGTGGATTTATTTCTGGGTGCTTGCTCTATTCTCTTGCATTATCATGTGACTGTTTTTAAACCAATACCATATTGTTTTGATTACTATACTTTTGTAGTAAATTTTGAAATTAGATAGTATGATGCCTCCAGTTTGTTCTTTTTGCTTAAGATTGCTTTGGGTATTCAGAGTCTTTTGTAGTTATACATATATACATTTTAATATTTTCTCTGTTTTTGTGAAAAATGCCATTAGAATTTGATAGGGATTTCATTGAATGTGTAGGTCAATTTGGGTAGTATGCACATTTTTAACAATATTCTAATTCATGGACATGGGATTATTTTCCATTTATTTCTGTCTTCAGTTTCTTTTATCAACATTTTATAGTTTCAATGAACAGATATTTAATAAATTAACTTCTAAGTATTTTTATTATTTTTGTAGCTATTTTCTTTATTTTTGGATAGTGCACTGTTAGTATAGAAACATTACAGATTTCTGTACATTTTTTTTATTTTATATTCTTCCACCTTACTGAATTCATTTATTAATTCTGACAATTTTTTTGTGGAGTCTTCAGGGTTTTCTGTATATTAGATTATGTCATCTCCAAACAGAGACAATTTAACATTTTCCTTTGTAATTTGAATGCCTTTTATTTTTCTCTTGCCAAATGGCTCCAGCTGGGATTTATAGTTCCACAATGAGTAGAAGTGGTGCAAATGAGCATCCTTATCTTATTCCTGATCTTAGAAGGAAAGATACTTTTTCATGATTGAGTATGATGTTAACTGTGGGGTTGTCATATATGATCTTAAATGTGTTCATATATATTCTTCTAGACTTAATTTATTCAGAGTTTTTTATCATGACAGGCTGTTTTGTTTTGTCAAATGATTTTTTTAAAAAAAATCTTGAGATGACCATATCATTTTTGTCCTTCATTCTGTTAGTCAGGTGTATCATGTTTATAGATTTGCATGTGTTGAAACATCCTTACATCATTCAGATAAATCCCACTTGTCCATGGCAAATGATCCTTTTAACGTGCTGTTGAATTTGGTTTATTAGTATTTGTTTGAGGTTTTTTTGCATCTATTGTTCATCAGGAAGATATTTGCCTGCAGTTTTCTTTTCTCATCATATCTCTTTCTGGCTTTCACATCAGGACTCTTAATGTGCATTTGGAAGTATTCCTCTTATTTAATTTTTTGGAAAAGTTTTTAAGTACCCATGGAACATTATCCAGGATAGTTCCTGTGTTAGGCTACAAATAGTCTTAATAAATCTAAGATTGAAACATCAAGTATGTTTTCTGATCACAATGGTATAAAACTAGAAATCAATAATAGAATTTTGGAAAATTCACAAACCATTGGAATGAAAAAAATAAACTGAACAACCACAGGGTCAAAGAAATTACAAGGGAAGTTTTAAAATATCTTCCAACAAACAAAAATGGAAACATAACAAAAAAATTCTGGGAAGGAGCCAAAGTAGTTCTAAGTGGGAAGTTTATAGCAATAAATATTTACATCAAAAAAGAAAATTTCTCAAATAGACAGCCTAATGTACCTCAAATAACTAGACAATGAAGAACAAACTAAGCCCAAAGTTAGCAAAAGGAAGGAAATAATAAAGAATGGAGCAGAAATACTTGAGATAAAGACTAGAAAAACAACAGAAAAGATCAATGAAACTTAAGAGTTTGGCTTTTTAAAAAGATAAAATCAACAAACATTTAGCTAGACTAAGAATAAAAGAAATCATAAATGAAAGAGGAGACCTTACAAGTGATAATACAGAAGTATAAATGATCATTCCAAGCCCTGAACAGACTAATATGAACAATATACAACTGTGTAACCTAGAAGAAATACTCAGATGCCTTGATATATGCTGAATCATGATGAAATAGAAAATCTGAACAGACCAAATGACATGAAGATTGAATCCTGTAATAAAAAGTCTCCCATTAAAGAAAGGCCCCAAACCTCATGGCTTCACTGTGAATACTCCCAAACATTGAAAGAACTAATTTCAACCCTTCTCCATCTCTTCCAGAACACTGTAGAAAACATACTTCCAAACTTACTTTATGAGACTAGGACTTTTCTTAAATTCTCTGTTCATATCTTTGGCTTATGACACCATTAAGTTGGTTTATCTTTGTATTGTTTGAAAGATTCTGAACATATTTTATATACTTTCCT